TTCGGTGGGTATCTTTCCCGTTAGCTGCGGATTGTCTTTCGGGCTGTAATTGTCGATTCACTCGTTTCGGGTGGCAGTCAACATTGTCTCGCGAGGCACTTCCCGCCACTGCGTCTGTGCGTCTGGTCGGATGGGCCCCCATTGTTGCTTCGGTCGCTAACCAGGACTCTCTTTGAACTGCCTTCTATCGCAATATGACCCAGTTCAGTGTACATGCTCATTTAGCTTTTCGAAGAAACCTCCCAATCTCAAGTAAATTTTCCAGAGTGTTTTGACGCAGTTGGTTAGATAAATGAAAGTTTTCAAGCTTATTTTTTATCACTTTTTCCGTCAGTTATTGCAAATAGGAATAATCTTCTTGGTTAAGGCTACAATCATCTAGAACCCTGGAATATGCTCTACTGAACTCTGTCTTAGTCAGTCAACTAACGGTGCAGTTGGCTTAATTTTTTACATCTGATATCTGACTAATAGCGATACTAATGCCTCGTAATTAGATAGAATAGCTCGCCAAAGTTCCGTTCTGTTTCTCAAATCTTTCATTTCGCAAAGGCATGATCACTATCCAGGACGAACGTCATTAACTTCTACAGTCACATCTTGCAAGTATTGCTTGTGAACATAACATCGTTCCTCTTAGTCTAAAATATTTTAAAGCTCAGCGCAGTTGTTTCTTCCCGATTTGCCCTTATTGATGTAGTAGACTAGTATCCCAAAATTACGAGGCATTTCACCAAATGCTCGAAGGATATTTTGAGTAGAACAATCGGTATGCTTTTCCTGTTGCGTCGAGATGGATTAAAACAAAACGCCAATCGATCACCAGTTCGCAACTGTGGCTGTCCCGACCAACCCTTGTTTTTATCCTTTGTTTCCAATGCTATTGTCACGCATTTTCAGGCGCCTTTGTCTTCGGTTTTACGTTTCTCTATCCGTCCCACGAGCACGTCTTAAGTCTTAGACACAGTGATCATCTTTCCTAATACATTTTTTTGTTTCAGTCCATTATTAACTGAAAGAATCAGAAGACTGCACACTTCACGTTATCTGATCTTTTTCCACAGGATTCATAGTTCCAATCGTGATCATCAACAAACTGGACTTTATTTATCGTCCTCTACCGTTGTTCAGAAGATATTCCTACGATCACATGTAAGTTTGGATAGTTCGGTGTACCAATCAGTATTTGGTCAACAAAGACTTATTGAACCACTGATTAAGTGACGCTTAGATAAGAATCTAAAGCTTAACTACTGTTAAAAAGTATTCAATAGTCAACGTTTACGGTAAGAACAAACTACTTGCAAGTATCTCATCTCAATTTATGGTCCTATCCCGCTTCAAGTATTCAAGTACATCGCATTGCGGTAATCAGAAAATTGTGCGAAGTGATCACGAAAACAAACAGATTTCGTGATAGCAGTGAGTAAGAGGGAGGGATCATCTATTACAAAAGCTCTGAAGTGGAGGACTCACTTGGGTCAAATTAGCGGTTCGGCGAACCCTATCGGTCTGGCAGGTAGATGGATAGTTGTCAATCGATCTGATCAGACAGAAGAGATCATCCGGGGAGCATTATTATCGAAACGTGCTTTATAGAATAAGATGGTTAAGTGATCCAGCGCCGTGAGTTATGATTACGCTGCATTATGAGGGGTGGGGTAGGTGGGCAAATTCAGGCCACTTCATGGCGGGATGCTGCATGAGAAACTCTGCACCAAATGGTGGTAAATAAACGTTTAAAGGAAATCCATGCAGCATGATGTACAATAAAATAGTCTCAAACGCTCATTATCCATTACACAAAGAGCCATAAAATGTTGTACCCACATCATCTACATACTCAGGGTTTCAACAGTTATTGCACGTACCTCTCCATATCGTAGTTCTGTTTTGCCGTACCTCGCACGTCTACTTGTTGATGGTACAAAATTCACACATAATTAAGTAATCGATTTCTTCATTGAAGAAAACCGATAAGTAGTATTTATTAGTTTTATTTTGTATGAATTTATATGAATTTATAAGCTTACACTCACAAATATGCGGTAAAATGCCGAAAATTCACCCATCCGGATGCGTGGAGCTACTTAGACTTGATTTGGAAAGTGTGGTAAAACAAAAGTTGAAGATGTCAAAGAGCACGGAAAAGAGCATCAAAGTAGTCAAAAAAACTTCGCTAAGGAAAGAAACTTGCTTAACCGAAGTAAACACGATGGTTGATTTATCATGTTTGAAATGCCCTTGACAATAAGCATTTTGCTACCTTTGTCTCACTGCGTTATGACTGCGTACTACTTAAAACTATTAAAAATGGGACCAAAGCAATGTGCGTTGCGATCACTCCAACTTCATTGTTAGTGCAATACTTTAAATTGTCATTCATTTCAGTTAACTGAATAACAATATCCATTTTTAAAAAGATAAAAACACAGGTCCAAGTACTGTTTTGCAAACTGATCGAAAAGCATCCAAAATTTCGAAATTACTGCTCGGATTCCCTTTGCTTTTCAGGTTTTGCCTTTCCTGAAAATTGTTTTAAACAAATTTGTATTCAATAAAAGAAACTCAAATAATGAGGAAGACCTTTTCCTGGTGGACTCGGCGAATATACAGCGAGCGAGTCCTAAAACGACAGAAGCAACTGTACGCCGCAATGCTTCTCAGAAGTGTAAAAATCTATGACCCGATCGGACAAGCCGAATTTCCATAAAACGAATAAAGAAAGGAGAAAATTACGGTAATCAGTTCCTAAATCTGCTGCTGAATTCTCCAACTGTTGTGGCAATAACTGCCACTTGAGCTCACATACATGCACAAACAAACCCCATCTGAGTTAGTCTTATAATTATTTGTATCATAAAGAGGATGAAAGAATGAAATTGAGAAAGTGGCTTCCAATGCTATTCGCGTTATTTAGTGTTGCGGTCTTCTTTCGGTGGCTAATTTCTGTTTGTTTAGAGAGACTAACAAAATTCGAATTCATCAGTTTGAAAGCCCTAACACAGCCTTCTAGAGCTTCGCGGAACGTTGATATATGACTTGTGCGTTTCAAAATTGTTGCTGATTTCCAGGCACTTAACTAGCCAAAGTAGCGCATAAGTATTCAATAGCTTTCGAAAATGTGTAACGACTCAAGGATAACGAGGAGATTTTACTTGTCAAGATAGTTATTGAGATCCCATATCCACCATGGTTCATCATTTAACATTCCAGTGGAAAATTATCACTAAGATAATAATCACTACCCATTAGAATCTCAATATTTGAGCATTTATGTGCAAACTTTACATTCATCCTGCATTTCTAACACCCTAAGGAAGTGATTTCTCGTCTACATACACTGTTCTTTGTGTTACATAACGTGCTGTTAATGACAGGAAGGTAAACGGTTGATGGCAATCTTGTTCGAGTATCGAACCATAGTGGTCTGGGATCGAGCTCCAAAACGTGATCACCCGGAAATTCTTCGGCGCTAGTGTACACTCGGTCTTCTTTTTTCCTCATGCTTAGCGTCGGAGAACTACAAAACGTCGGTGTGTTTGTGAGTCTTAAGGTTGGTAAAATATTTAGCAGGCTGTTTCATTTGTTTTTCTGTCTCACTGCCAAACCTTTCAGCTACATGTCTTAAAGCAAAAAGAAAGAAATAACGGTTCAAACATGAAATGGGAGTGTGTGAGAAACGGGGAGGGAGAGGTGGGACAAGAAAGTTGGACTGATAAGAAAACCCTCTTGATCAATTCCTTTTGTGCACCGAGTGAATTGCAAACCATGGCAAGCGAGACCTTACTGAAGATCACCAGCCTCGGAGCTGGATTAAATAAAGGTATTGTAAACGTCGAGGCCTGGTAAACTGTGTGGCCATGTTCTCTTACTATTCTACGTGTTTTGTATTCCATGAGTTGTTGTTGCTTGAGTTGTCATCGTAGGTGGCATTAGCAATCGTGTAACCTATTCGTGTGTGTGCTCTAATATTTGTCGGGTCAAATGTCGATCGGTTCCCCCAAGGTGAGATTTATCGCAGCCGGAGGTGGACTGATACATTCCATGCGCAGAGTTGAGATCGGTTTGATTATTGAAGTGAATTTTGATGTTAAGGCACTTGACTGTTTATATTAAGGGCAATCAAGATTTGTATCCTATGGAGACTTTTCCCCCTTTATACAGAAAATCGTCTTCACTGAAAAAAAACTAGTTTTCCAACAGAATTTGTCATTTTACTATGATAATAATCAAAATTTTCTGGATAAATATTGATTAGGAGGGCTGTTTTAGCAATCGTTCCTTCTTTGGAAATGAATAACATTGTGTTAGATCTTTGAACCATACAGAGAATGGCTTTTGTGAGCTCTAATTTGCTGGGTTTTAACTGGATGCATGGCCAGTAGTGTGTTCTACATCCTTAGATTTTAATTCATTAGACCCCGTAAAATGCCGAAAGATTTGAGTGAAAATAGTTTAAACTATCAGTAACCGTAGTTCAACATTCCTCTTAAGTACCTCTAAGGTATTTACAATCACAATAATTTAGAATGTACTTCCTGTATTGGTCTGTTCAGTTAGAAAAGCACCGTAAAGTTTGTATGGTTTGTTTTGAATTGTTGTAGGTTCCTCGCTTTGGTTGGAGCTAGTCATCATCATGAACCGCAAGTGGCTGTTGCGCTAACTTGAGACGATACCATTAGCTGGGAGTTCAGTAGTTTTGTGGTGATCCTCAGATTGAATAATTGACATCACTAATCCGAATTTTCCTTTGAATCACATACAGAAATGAAGTCAAACAAACCGGCACAATAGAGAGAGACCTTACTGTTCCGTCAAAAGTCTTATTATTGTCGTTTTGAACGCAGTATCAACCGATGTGAAGTTATTCAAACTCCAGATGCGGTGCTGCACCAAATGTTGCGATCATGATAATACTCTTCACATATGAGCACTTCGATCAAAATCTGTAAATATTTTGAAAAGAAATCACTCTGGTTTTCTGACCAAATTAGCATTTGGAAATAATGAATTTGAAACAGCGTGACAGCTACCATGTTCGATCCGGATTGGGTTCTCGTAGCTTCACGTGCACCGGTATGCGGTTCTCCATGCTGATTCCCAATGGTGATCAAAATCGACACACTGTCATGTCATGTTGCCAAGTCAAATCGATCAAGCACAGAAATCTGAATTCCTTGCCTAGGAAGCCACTGAATACTGGTTTGTTTGCAAGTGTGTATGTGTGTGCAAGCGATCCACCCCACATTTGAGTTCAGGTGTACGCCAGTGTGTGTGTGTGTCGGTGAGAGAGCGAGAGAGAGACCGATCATACGGGGACAAGATTGCTCACACATGACACACGACAACGAGCGGTGAGCGCTGTTACTTACATCTTCCATCCCGTGCATGTATGTGTGCCTAAGCACACACACATGTGGATGTACAAGACAAAACAAAAGAATAATCACACATACTCGAAAACGCCTATTTGAATTGCCGTCTGGCATATCGGTTCACTGCTAATCGCACTTTTTGAGCACCGCCACCAATAACGAGAACAGCAGTATCACCACCACCACCAATACCGCCGGGTACGAACGTCGAAGAGAAACACTTTTTGAAAATATGGCTGCACGACAACGTGCTGTGGTACAGCATAAGGATATGACGACCGACTTACAAGAAGATGCTGTGCAAACGGCAACGGAAGCACTGGAGCGATATCAGGTCGAGAAGGATATCGCTTCGTACATCAAACGCGAGTTCGATCGGAAACATGAACCATTCTGGCACTGTGTAGTCGGCAAAGCTTTCGGAAGGTTTGTTTTTGATTATTGGTATTCGTATGTATTGTGTGAATATATTTATACTCAGCCAGCGATCTTTTATTTTCAAGTAACTGTCATTTAGTCGAAATGTTGGTATCTATCGTTTCCTTGTATAAGTGCCTTATTACTTTCTTTTATTTCCTATCCGCAGCTGTGTTATGTACGAGCAGCAGAGTTTCATCTATTTCTATCTGGAAGGACGTGCAATCATGCTCTATAAATGTGGATAACTGCTTTTGTTGATATTTGTCCAAGTTGGCTATAAAATTTGTACATAATATACACGTGCTTTATCCCGTACAATGCATCACAATTTTTGCACTGTGAAGAGTGACCATCTATTCATCTTCGGTTTACGATGAAAAAAATGTTGATGACTGTTCAAGATAGTAAGCAATGTCTCATTCGTAAAACTGTTGTGTTTGATTAATCATTCATTCACCCCTAGGGTAACAGTGTGTCTCAAACGATTTTGTGTACATCTAGCACTAAGTGGATTCGGGACGGGGTTCGTCAGCTTATACGTTCTCCAATATACATATTGATTGCTTCAATGCTGGGTTTAATTTATTAGGTATTGTGACTGTGCGTCTCAACACCACACCATTTTTAGCTGAAAGAATGTCTGCGATAGAAACGCTGAGAGAATTGGTTAGAGGTCAGCAAAAAACAAGAAAAACTAATTTGTATATGGATTGAATTTGCTGGTGATAAATTGAACATTTATCAACTGATGATCAATCTTATTGATGAATATACTCGATACAGATGCCCAAAATTTATTTGGGGTGGAGGTGAGTGTCCATTTGGGGATGAGTAGCTGATCCAAAACAACCTGGTATGTAGGTGTTCTTTCAATTATAGTTAACACGTTGAGTAATATGCCTCTGCGACGTTGCCCATCCAACAGTGGATTGGTCATCTATGAAGCAAATATCGGATTCAGTAACTCTGGTTAATGCTGGTCTCACCTGGTTGGAATACACAAACCCTTCAGGTGAGGTTTCGGGATTTCAAATAAAGAAGACATCTGAACAAAGGATGAGCTTTGACGACAGTAAGTAAAACTCCTCCCGAGCATATAAATGATTTATCGGTTAAACTGAGAGTTGTGCCTAAAGATGAAGCCAAAATGTTAGCTAGTCAAAGTCTCCGATCCTGTATATATGTATATAGGCTTCGGAAAACCAATCGATTATAATCACATCAAAGTAAAAAATCGTCGATTCATTGCAGAAAAAAGTATAAGCCTTTTGAAAATGTGAAAATACATTGAAGGAAAAAAGAACGAAGTGGAGTGGCTAAGAGCAAAAAATGGGTCTTGGCTATATTTTTCACTAAAAAGGATTGATTCCTTTACTTTACAGTAAGTACATCAGAAAATCTGAACAAATTATGGAAAGCTCTTGGTGTGATGAGAAAATAACAATCGGTAGAGAGAGATGGGATTAAAGAGTTTTGTGACTGAGAAACAGTCAGTTGCATACACCAAGCTTACAGTTGCATGAGCAGTAAAAATTTATCGGTCAGTTTAGCTGTGTTAGTGCGATAAGCTGTATATCATACTTCTAAATACGTGTGCAGGTTGGCATGCATTCTCGGTGGGAGTTATCAATTTAAGTCAGGAGGGAACCGTGCTCCAATGACATCGTTCATTCCCAGTTTTTGGGGCCTGGTAAATATGTCTGCCAAATGAAGTTTTCGAGAGACTGCTGAGGATTTTTGGAGGGAATATTCCTCTGGCATGAGAGAATATTGTTGATGAGAATGACTAGCGCATACGACAGCAGATGGAATAAATGAAAAAGAGAAATTTAAGGATGAGTAGGGAAAATGATCAAGAAGCAGAAATCGAAAGAGAGAGGGCTAAACGTAAAAGCAACTTACAGTACAGTTAATAGGATATTTCAATGGGGAAATGATTAAAAGAAAACCAATTTGTACGTGATGGCCATCGTATGTAGCCCATGTTTGGGGATATAATTCCCAAATGGAAGATTTACGGTTGAAGTCCCGTAACGGATACGAAAATAGTATTTGCCGCTGACGAGTACCAAAAAAGACAAAACAACTATTTGGCCATCAAACACGAATTTCATAGCAAAATGGATTGTACTGAAGCTTATCAATAAAATTCCATAAAGTAATACCAAACGAAGAGCACAATACAGAGCCTGATGTTTGTACCATATCAGAAAATTGCTCAGTCCGAGAAAAGAGAAATATGAAAGATTTCATGAACTTCTTTTCGACCTGGAACCTAATGTACATATCAGCTACAAGAAAATAGAAAAATGCTTAGTATTAAATTAGTAGTGTCAAATTCTCGTGCATCGTGTAGAGACTAAAACTTATAACCATAATGCTGAGTAATATTCTAAATGATTTGTCCCTGAGCGATCATGACCGTTGATTGTAAGTGAATCGACTACGTTGGAAGTGTCTGCGGTTGAACATGGTGTAGACTGAGAACAAAGGGTAAAATAAATGAAAACCATGAAACATGGCCTCATGTGAAAGTCACTGAAGTTACAAAAGTTACAGTGCTAGAATAATGAGTTTTTGATAATCCTGTATTAGTTTGATTGCATTTTGCGAATGATGTCCAACGTTTTCCACATAAATGATGATTACCGGGGTATATCATATTTCAGTTAAACCGAGGGCATCAGACACTGATCATGGGGGAGGGAGAGGGAACTGATTGATCAATGAGCTTTTGGGCTTAATGGGCTGACTAAGTGGTTTATTCTCTGTTCAAAGCAGTTCGTTTGATTGATCAAGTGCTGCAAATGGATTCTACCTATCATGTTCCCCTGAGTTGAGTGTTTATTAGAACGGTTGTCTCAGGTTGAATCTATATAATTTGGGCATTCATCAAAGGATAAGTTAGTTTCCCTAAAATACCCAAGATTCGACTTCCTAAATGCATCGTTTCAGGTTGGCAAGCTATGGAGCGATCCACTTGTTTCTAATTTATTTGTAACGACATTTATAAAAATGATCCCTGTGTAGAATTACACTAAGGAAGGTAAACAAATTAACCTGTAATAATGGTTCAGAATAGGAGGGAACAAATTTAGTTCATGATCAACAGTTGCATCCAATGATTCACCGAGTGTAAGTGAATATGTTATACAAAACTCAGTCATCAGTAATCGCTCGACAAATTGACTTGTAAGTTAGAATACCCTTTAACAATACAATCGATAAATACATAGGAGACAGCAGACAAGCATAAATATTTCTGCAACCATTAGACTCCATGTTACTAAAATGGAGACATGTTTCACAGTATTAAATACGAGCCGGGCGAGATTTCCCCCACTGATCATTCCAGGGGATCATTCCAAAAATGTTTTCCGTACCACACGTAGCTACAAACTATGCTACTCATAAGTAGCTATTATGGTATCCGTAAAAATATTTCTCTGCTTCCGCTCCCTAAAACAAAATCTGTCAGTCTCTTCATCCGAAAATCTGTAGCTAATAATATGATCTGAAATTTGAACAACCAGCCATTGCTCATGCGAAAATTACCCAATTTTGTAATCCTGTTAACAAACATGCTTCAGCAGACTGTTGGTACTGTTGATCTCATTGACGTGATCGAGGTATGAATCAAAATGTTCGTTCCGTCTACCAACCAGCTATGAACTGAGCCTATTTTTCACAGGAATATCGACTTAAGTGCTTTCTAAACCAAATAGAAATACAATCGCCTTCAAAATTTCCCACCTTAATGAAGCTGATAACTTGAAAAATACCACCGTGATTCAGAAATGAATCTAATTACAGTATCAATTATGAGATTTGACAGTAAATT